GGGCAAAAAGTGCACAACTACTTCACTCATTCGGCCAGGCACGGTGGCTCACACCTGTAATCCCAGCACTTAGGTAGGCAGAAGCATGAGGATAGCTTGAGCCCAAGTTTCATGGCAGGGCCAAAAAGGACTCCTAAGAAAAGAAAGTTTTTATTGTGTTTCTTCATTTTATAATTGTTTTAATTATAAAGGTAATACATGTTTACTACAAAAAATCCAAAAATACAGATAAGCAAAAAAACAAAACAAAACAAAAAAACCCACAAACCATACATTTCTGTATATCCCATTTATTTATTTATAAAAGTGAGAACATATTGTACCTAATTTTCAGTAAGCTGGTTTTTAGGCAACAATATGAGATAGCCATCTTTCCATGTTATTTATTATACTTCTACAACTGACTTTTATATTTAAATAGATGCACATCAAAAGGTATTAAAGAGTACACAGTAAAAGCTTGACTCTCTCATCCCATGCCACATGACCTTATAATTTTAACCAGAAGCAGCCACTGTTACATTTTTTGTGATCCTTCCACAGTTTATTGTGATCCCTCCACAAATATTCTATGAATATACGAGCATACATGTATATATTTCTCTTTTTAAGTAAATGGTAGCTGTGAACACAGTTTTATACCTTGCATTTCTCTCCCCAGTCGGTACATGTATCACTGCCTCTCAGTGGCAGCAGTGTTTCAATGTATGGATATACAATAATTTACTCAGTCTCCTTTGATGGACATTCAGAATGTTTCCAACTCAGTCCCCTTTGATGGACATTCAGAATGCTTCCAATCTTTTACTATTACAATATTGCTAGGTATACCCTCCAAATGTAAACATGCATATGTTTGTGGGTATATCTGTAGGAAAAATTGCTAGAAGTGGAATTTTGAGGTCAAAGAACATGTATGTCTTAAAATTTGACAGATATCACACAGTGCCCTCCATTAAGGCGTTCCTAATTTCTACTCCTTCCAACTACAAATGAGACTATTTCCACACCTGTGGCTCCCCAGCCAGATAATGTTTTCCGTTTCCCTCTCCTGGAACACACACCTTGCAGACAGGTGAGGTAACGTGCCTAGTTCTGGCCAATGGAATGTGGGAATGTGAACAGAACTGATGTGTGTCGTATCCAGGCCAAGGTAACTGAGAAGAAAGTATGCATTCTCCACCCTATCTCTGCAATTCTGTCGACTGGAAACAGAAGAATTCAAGACCCTAGGGAATGGTGGATCCCTATGATGGAAGGAGCCTAAGTCCCTGAGTTACCACACAGAAAAAAACAACTGTCTGCCAACCAGAAACATCCGCAGTGGACTATTACATGAGGGAAGAATAAATTTCTATTTTACTAAGACACTGAAATGTTGATGTTTGTTGTAACATCTTGCTTTACCCTAATACACCAAGATACCCTTTTTTATATAAACATCAGATCTACAGTTCTGAAGATACTCTTAGGGAATATTGCTCAAGTATTTCAAAATTAACTTTCAATGTTAACTATGATATTGGTGTGCCATTAAGAAAATAGCCTTCGTTTCCTGGATTAATAAGAGTTGTTTTTTGTTTCTTTGGTTTTTATCAAGAATGAGTAGTGATTTATCAAATACCTTTGCAATATTTGTGAAAATGATTCTAAATTTTTTTCCTTAGATCTATTAGAGTGATATCTTACATTAATATTTCCTAATGTTGAAATAGTCTCATATTTCTAAAATAAACCATGTTTACTTATATATTTTATTTTGTATATGCTGTTGAATGCAAGGGAATAACTGGAAGAAAATAATAGATTAGGTAATTCTTTAAACATGATTTATAAATTTTAAATTTCAATTGAGGAAGTAAAAAGTATAGGAGACCCTCCAAAGAACAAATCTGTTATCTGGAAAAGCAGGTGAATGTGTATGACATTACTTGGAGTGAAAAAAAAAAAAAAAGAAATGAAATGGAATTCTTGAATAAAAAGATAAGAGAACTAAGCAGCAGGTCCAGGAGGTCTAATTGGAAATAAAAGGCAAGTTCAGAGAGAGAACAAGGACCATAATGGAAAAAGTAATAATCAAAAGATAATACAAGAAAACTTCCCTCAGGAGGAGACTAGAATTATGAAATCAAAAGGGCTCATTCAGTGCCAGACAGGATAAATGGAAAAGGGCATATGCCTGTATATATCCTAGTCAAATTTCTAATTTCTGAGCTTCAAAACAAAACAGAAAAGCTTTTAGAAGGAAAGAACAGGTTACTTATGAACAAATGAGCATGAGGCTGTCATTGGACATGGTTAAGAACACAGGCGCTGAAGTAAGGCTACCTGGGTTCAAATTTTGGTGTGAACTTGGGTTGGTTTGCTTAACTTCTTTATGCTTCTGTAAAATAGGGACAATATTACTACTTAGCTTTTCAGGTTGGCTGGAAGCAACATTTGATATAACACATGGAAGAGCCTAGCACATACAGTCAGTATACTTCTATCTGTTAACATCAAAAGCTGTATCAGTGAGTCAAAATTTTACACACTTTTGAGAAGACAAAAGCCTGAACACTCCTCAGAACATAGCGTACAGCACTAATAGTCTGAAGAACTGCACAACGGCCCCACCCTAACATCTCTAATGGTAGCTGAGCCCCATGCTAGTGAGAAGTGAACTGGTGGGCAGAAGGAATCTCACTGACTTATTTCAATTAATGTGAGCAGGGCAAGAACAATAGTTTTTTGGCCTGGAGCTGAAGATTATTGGAGATGAAAAAAGCTGTAGGCTCTGTCAGGGTAAAAGGACACACAGTGAAGTTTCTTAAAGTCAGCAGGGACAATTCTACAATTAATAGACCTTATTACCATCAGGGACGCTCCATAAAGTAAATTGTAATGAGACTTGTGGCTGCGAGATTTGGGTATCATAAGAAGTCCTTTCATTAATACAGCTAATGTTGTCTGAGCACATCTACCACATGTGAGGAACTACATTGGGGATATAGCTGTATATAAGACACGCGAAGTCCCTCCCTCAAAGAGTTTACATACATAGATCACCTTAATTAATATGATTCAAGTTAGAATGCCCATATGACATAAGAAATGAATCATACTAAAACCATTAACAAAATCTCTCTCTCTCTCTCTCTCATACACACCCACCGCCCTTTTATCTCAATTACACAAGAAATGAAAAAGTCAACTTGTAATATTGTTAATAATGAAAAGTCAGTTGCTACTTAATTTAGTCCCGTTTTCTATAGTTTGCAAATGTAAAAGCTAGCACAACAATTTGGTGGAACTCTTGAGTAATCACTTCAATTCTTCTTTCTGCCAAAGTAGTCAGTGACTGCCTTTTGGAGAAAATATCGTATTTTTCACTTTATACTGATTTACTCCTCCAGTTTGTGTTCGAGATATTTGACCTCTGAAAGTTTAATAAGCATTTACTAAACAGCACCAACCAGAAATATTTTTAAAATTTCTTTCTACCTACTAGCCAAAAATTCCCCAGCCCACTTGCCCATCTTCAAACAGAAGAGTATCTCTTCAATCCAAAAGGAAGATAAAGCATTAAATGGCATATAACGAATTTAGTGGGTTGAATGGTGGCTCCTGAAAAGACACGTCCATGTCCCAATCCCCAGAACCTGTGAGTATTACTTTATTTGAAGAAAAGATCTTTGCAGATGTAATTAAGGATTTTCAGATGAGATCATCTTGGATTATCCAGGTGTACCCTAAATCCAGTGACAAGCAGATTCTCTTAAAGTCAGTCCTTAGAAGAAAAAGGCAGAGAGAGAGATTTGAGACACACAGAAGAGAAGACACAGAACATAAAAGAAGGCTATAACGACCACAGAGGCAGAGACTGGAGTGAGGCAGCCACAAGTCAAGGAATGCCCATACACAACAGAAGCTGGAAGAGGCAAGGAACAGATTTCTCTCCCAAAGAGCCTCCAGAGGGAATGTGGCTCAGCCAACATCTTGATTTTGGACTTCTGGCCTCCAAAAGAGTTAGAGAATAAATTTCTATTGCTTTAAGCCACCTAGTTTGTAGTAATTTGTTACAGCAACCATAAAAAAGCAATGCAGTAAGCAAAAACATTTTGGTAGGGAGCCCTGGGTTCAAGTACCACTCCTGTCATTTAGTCCCTATTTGCTTCAGTAAGTCTGTTAGCCTCTCAGAACCTCCAAACCTGTACTATTACCCTGAGTTCTTATAAGAATCAAAGGAGATCTTGTATATGAAAACATTCAGAGTATTATAAAGTCCCATACAAATATGAATTATTATTCTTACACTTTACCTGGAATTTCAAATCAGTTTGGAACCTGGGCTCTTTATTCAACTCCTTTGTTACAGCCCTTCACACAAATTAATACCTGCCTAATTTCAGCAGTGCCAACATTATATCAGTTATTATTATTTTAGAGATGGGGTCTTGCTCTGTCCCCCAGGCTAGAGTACAGTGGGGCAATCATAGCTCACTGCAGCCTCGAACTCCTGGGCTCCAGCGATCCTCCTGGCTCAGCCTTCTAAGTAGCTGGGAATACAGGCACTCACCACCACATTGGGCTTGCTATTTATGTATTTATTTATTTATGAGTGAATGAGATGGGGTCTCACTATGTTGCCCAGACTGGTCTGGAACTCCTGGCCTCAAATAATCCTCCCGCCTCAGACTCCCAAGTCTCTGGGATTACAGGTGTGAGTCACCACAGGCCCCATATCAATTCTTAACATCAACTTTTATTTCTAGAATTAAGCTGTCACTAATGTACACAGTATCTCTTTAGTACTAGGATTTAATGAAGTCTCATTACCACTAACCTTGTCATCTATTTTACTTCCCTCCAGATATCATCTATTATCACATCAATTTAGTAGAGAGATTATCTAATTGGTTTATTGGCCCCATTTACATTAACAAATCAGTTTTAACCAATTTACTTTCAATAATATCTGTGAACTCCTTAACATAATCATAATTATTTCTCTAACTAACCTTAATTATTCCACACTGAATTTTTCTCAGCTAAGAATGAACCATTAATAACTCTCTTTCCTATTTCTGGTTTTCTCCAACAGGTAGACTGATCTATGCCAGACCTAGTTCTTCTTCCCTGAAATAAAGTATATTTATGAAATACAATAATAAATTAAGGCTATTAGCTCCACAAGTTATGCACAAAAGTTAATTTTGTAACTCTATAATCTCACTTCATTCACACAGAAGTTTATATTTTCTATAGAATTTTTCCATTACCATTTCATAAGAAAGGTGACCAAACATACTCCAAGTTATGGAATAGCTGGTCAACTGCAAGCTTCAATTTTTTTCCTTCAGGGCAAGGAAGTTTGACATTAAAAATAAAAAAATGACATGTTGATAATGCAGTCTGATATGAGAATTTATTTTCTTATGCCTTTTAACCACTCTTTTCTATATTGAATTTGAATGGCATTCAAATCTTAGATCTAACAGAGTATCATAAAAATATTATTTTCTGAAATTCTGCCTCTTCACAAATCTTTAAACAAACGTAAAAGAATCTTTCCCAAACAGAAGTTGAAACAGTAAAAACTTCAGTGGACTCTGAGATTTGCAAATGTAACAATCACTTACAATCATTATCATTAACGATTTAGTCTTCAGATGAAACGTCCTTCAAGAATGCATTAGGTGCACCAGGTGCAGTGGCTAATGCCCGTAATCCCAACACTTTGAGAGTCCAAAGTAGGAGGATCCCTTGAGCCCAGGAGTTCAAGACCAGCCTGGGCAACACAGGGAGACCTCATCTCTACAAAAAGTGAATAAAATTAGCCTGGTGTGGTGGTGCACACCTGTAGTCCCAGCTACTTGGGAGGCTGAAGTGGGAGGATTGCTTGGGCCCAGGAGGTAAAGGCTGCAGTGAACCGAAACTGCACCACGTCACTCCAACCTGGGCAATAGAGTGAGGCCTTGTCTCAAAAAAAAAAAAAAAAAAGCATTAGGTGCTCCTCCTGAGTCACTAAAGTATGGGTGATGTTATTTTAATATATTTAACTTCACTGCCTTTCCATAGGTAGCAATTAAATCATTCTCAAGATGCAAGTTAAACATTTCGTTCTCAGGATCACCAGTAAAAATTTCAAATCAAAACTGAGGAAATCCACAGCCATTATTTTGTATAAACATAGATTAATACTACTCTGTGGCATAACCCACAACTTTAAAGATTTATCCCCCTGTGAATGGGATTATAAAGGTACCTACTATATCATCTCACACCAATAAGAAGTTTAGCAACAAATGTCTCCTAATTTTCATGATCTCCACGTGGCCTATATAAAAGTAAGCTGTGAACCTCTTCCAAGTAGCCTCTACATTTTTCAATCAATTTCACATGAGACTGACAAGATATGAATTATCCTGAGAAATGTGTTAAGTTTCCTGACAAGTAAAGCCTGAACTAAGATCTTCCTTAAGTAGTCTAACTCTACAACCTCAGAATTCTTAAGAAACTTAAAAAACATCCTAAGAAGTCATCCATTCCCCTCATCCATCTTAGCAACCAAGTGCAGAATCTGGCCCCTCGCCACTAGAGGGGGTGTTTCTTCTATTGGTTTCTCTTTCCCCCTAATTCGGCTGACCAGAATTTCTGGTTGAACTAGAAATAAGCCTCAAGATCAACATCCTGACCTTTATTTTTAATATCATGTGGCCTTTTCCTTTTTTTCGGGCCTTAGTTAACACTAAAATACAAATTTCAATCCCTAATTACTTGTATTATTATGCCCCATATCATACTCCATTGCCTTTCTACAAAGAGATGAACAAGCTACACAATTTAGAGACTTTGACATTAGTTCACTGAAAATAATCAGAAAATCCAACCAAGTTTGAGTTTTTTTTAAAAAAAATTTTTTTCATTTGTCAGGTTCATTATTTCATTTGAATCACTATAATACTATTTTAAAAATTAGACAGACATTAGTAACAAACTTAAAGGAAAAAAATATACTTAAGAGACTTGCCCAAAATTTCAGGTAGCAAATGGTTAAGCCATAATGAAGACTCAAATGCTCTGACTCCTAGACCATTTCCAGTTGTATTATTTTATGCCATGAGTGGAAGGTACTAGATGAGAAGACCAAGGGCTGAACTACTCTTCCTTTTTACCCTACCAGTGTAGAGCAAATAGACGTATGATTACTCATGTAATTCACTATTGCTCCTGGCAAACAATAAATACTACATCTGCTTAGAATAGTCTCCACTGGCCACAAAGTAAAGTCACAAGGTGAGGAAGGAGTGGATGACGGAGATAAAGGGAAAGAGTTGCTGCAGAGAGAAGGAAGAGAAGAAAATAAATCTATCAAACAATCTTGAGGTTAGGCATGAGACACAAAATATACAAAAGTGAGGACCAAGATCTAAGCAAGAAATCAGAATCAGAAAAAGAAGGAATGAAGAACAAATGGTAGCAGTCACACCATCAGATATTCGAACAACCCAAAAGACTCTGGAAGAGATAATGAGTGCTGTTTGATTCCTTGCTGCTTCCTGTGAAGATCCCTGGTCTAAGGCAGAGCCCCTTAGAAAAGATAGAGAAAAGACCTGGCCAGTTAGAATCTGCATGGACTTTATGAAGGCGGAAGACATGGGGAGGGAAGAGCCCCAACAAAAAGAAACCTATCCAAATAATATCAAATCCACCTGACGTGAATCTGCTTGGGACAAAGTGGGTATAACATCAGGATGTTTCTGGCTGCAAATGACAAATTCGCAGATCATGCCTACTTACACAATGAGGAACTGTATTATCTCACAGAACTGGAAGTTCAGAGGTAAGGCAGACCAAGTACAATACAATCAGCAATTCAGGAAGGTCATCAAGGGCTCAGGTTTCTTCTATCTCTGTTCTGTCATCATCTAGATCAGCTGCACCCCTCAAAGCTAGTTTCCCTCATGGTCCCAAGATGGATAGAGCAGTTCTAGCCACCATACTCAAACATAAAATTACAGGGAGACGAGGCATCATCTCTTTCATTTCTCTCTGCTTAGGATCAATAAATCCTTTCCCAGAAGCACTCAAGTCCTCTGCAGACTTTTCCTTTGTATTTCATTGGCCAGAATAGGTTACAGGCCCTTCCTAACTCTTCATTGGCAAGGGAAGTGGGATTAACCATGACCGCTTAGACTAATCACCTGTGGTGGAATGAATACTGAGGAGTCAATCACCATGACCACAGCATGGGCAATTTATAATGATGAGTATTATTATGACATTGTTTTCACTCCATAATAAATCCATAATGTGATTATGCTGCTTCCATGATCTTAACTACGAGGCATGTGCTTTGCCTGAGATCCAGATAATTACTCTTTGCTCACATCCCATATTTTTCAACATGAACTTATTTATCAGATAGAAAACATTTTATTAAAACTTTCTCAGTCAGGCCAAGCATGGTGGCTCACACCTATAAACCCAGCACTTTGGGAGGCCGAGGTGGGAGGATCCCTTGAGCCCAAGAGTTCAAGACCAGCCTGGACAACATAGGGAAACCCCTATCTCTACAAAAAAAAAAAAAAAAAAGCCAGGTGTGGTGGCATGGTGTATACCTATAGTCCCAGCTACCTGAAGCAGGGAGGATCGCTTGAGCCGGGAGGTCAAGGATGCAATGGGCCATGGTCTAGACACTGCACCAGCCTGAACAACAGAAGGAGACCTTGTCTCTAAGAAAAACGAACAAACAAACAAAAACTTTCCTGGTCAATCCACTGTAAGACAAAGTAACTTTAATGTAACATTTTAGAAGCAAGAGTAGTAATGTTTGTCTCCCACAGCAGCTACAGTGGATACAGCCACCTAGAACCCAACCTTGAGAAAGACTTAAAGCTGAGTCTCAATCTAGTGAGAAATGGTGCCATGACTGATTAGTGAGTCTACCATGACTCAGGTTCAGGCACAACAACATATAGCACATATTTGCCAACCCTGTTTCAGAGAAAATCTCTTAAGTAATTTCCCTCCACTGATAATGGAGTTCTCTGCTGCAATGCCTCTTTATTCTTATTTTAATGGAGACCCAATATAATCCCTCCCATCTCTTCACTCTCCCTATCTAATTTGCATACATATACATATAACATATATCAAGCATGAACTCCAAAAAAATTTTTATATATAACCAGAGACTTCCACAGGAATTCTGGAACCAGGCCTCTTTAGTAACCATAGAAAGGCTTGGCAGAATGGTTTCATTTACAAAGTGTCTCACTTAAAGCAGGCAGGGGGGCCTTGAGAGCCCAGGCTGGATGCAGGCCTAGGCAGGATTGAGGGACAGAAGGGAAAAGAGAAAGGCAATCTATTCCCAACTAAAGGTAGCCTGGCCCACAGTTGCAAAAAGGAACCAAAATCTGATTCTGAACAAAAGTGACTAACTGGAGAATGCTTAAATACATTATGGCAAATTGCAAACTGTAGGTAGAGTTTATGTGTATAAAATGCACTTAGAAGGATAGGGAAGGACAACAGCGGTTATTCCTGGGTGAATTAATTTACAGCTATTTTCTTTTTTCCTTCCATTCTTTATCTACATTTTTCTGAATGTCCTGTACTGCACATGCACTGCCTTTTTTATGAGGGGAAAAGAAAAATAATACAGGAAACATGGTTTTATCTTATCGCTGAGTGTTTGTTCCAATTAACCTCTTACTGCCTTTTAGTTAAGATTACTCTTGTCCAACTATTCTCCTATTACTAGGTAGCTAGGTTGCTTTAACTTTTTGAAATCACAAGCAATAAAATGCTGCCATAGCTGAAAGCTAACTTGAACTGTAAAAGAAAAATACTGGAAAAGTCCCTAGAAAATGGACCAAAAGTATCTAATCATTTTACACTGAAATTACCACTTTTCAAAAACTATTAACAGGATATTCATTTTGACCAACTAATTGTTTTGACCAAATCATTGTTTCAATTAATAGCTGATTACAACAAATCAGTTAACCAGCTTGCTTTCAACTAAATTGTACTTGACCAAATTGCTTTTGGCCAAAATAACTTTTAAGTAAAATTGGTACTGGACAAAGAGGGTACTACCAGCATCACGGGGTAAGTCGGAAGGCA